AGGCCGCTTCGTGGCGGTGGTGGAGGATCTCTTCCGAGACGGCGTCAACTGGGGGAGGATCGTGGCCTTCTTCGAGTTCGGTGGCGTCATGTGCGTGGAGAGCGTCAACCGGGAGATGTCGCCGCTGGTGGACAGCATCGCCGCCTGGATGACCGAGTACCTGAACCGGCACCTGCATAATTGGATCCAGGACAACGGCGGCTGGGTATGTACGTGCCCTGCAGTTCCCTTCCCTCGCCCAGGGCTGCACCCTGGGGCCGCGAGTTTCAGGGTGTCCACATGGAGGAGCACGGAGGTGCTTGAGTTGGGGGAGCGAAAGGCATCGGGCTCCGACAGGGTCCACAGCAGCCTGGGATGGATGGGGAGGCAGAGTTGATGCCGTGGGCAGGTGCGTCGGAGGCAGCCGTGTGTCTGGTTGGGGTCAGGGGAACGTGTCAGGGGAGGGGACCCAGCATTGCATGTAGCAGAAGGAAAAGGAGGGGCAGATGATCCTCAGACCCAGTGTTTGTAGCTGCAGTGACGGACAAAGCGGGATTTTGCAGCGGGAGCCTGGTGCGAAAGTCCTGCCTTTGTCTTGCCGCCAAACAAAGGTGCCAGGAGATGAGTAGGGGATGGTCCAGGGTATTGTTCTGCAGAAACTGCTGCCTCTGGGATCTGGCACGCGTCGGGCTCAAGTGGTCCTGTATTTCCAGAGCAGAACTTGCTTCTGGCTGGGGCTAATCCAGAAAGGGAGGGTTTCCACTTGTGGAAAATAGACAGCTTTTATACTTTTAGTTAGTCAGAATCATCTGTCTGTCTGTTTCTTCAAAATAAATAACCACATTTCATTGGAAGGAGGTTTCTTTCCTTTTTGCTCTGTTAATTGATGCACTGTGACAAAATGGGGTCCCTCAAACCAAAGGTGTTGTGTACATATGATATTGTTGCTGTGTTAGAAGGAAGAAATAGCAAAAGTTATCCTGGAGAAGAAACTTTATGTATGGACTGAGACCTAAAGTCACTTAAAATGGGCATATGGTAGGTCAGAGATTGGTAATTGCAAGTTCTGACTCCTATGAAATAGAGCTAGTGACCGCAATCAGTTAAGGAGCCCACCTCTGAGCGGTGCGTGTCAAGGGATACGGTACCCTCTTCGCAGTTAATGTGGTTGATAAGCTCTGTGTCTGTGAAGGGCAATCACATTAAGTTTTCAGCATCAGATCTGTTCCGAAGTTAGTGTTGGATTTGGTAGCACTCTGCCTTCACTGACGATCTCTGTTAAAAGATGAAGGCATTGCCTTCCCACTGCTGACCCCAGCAGCCTAGTGGGTACCGGCATCGAGGGCCTAGGGACCTTCTGTGTGCTGTCATCATCATGGAGAGAGTCGCTTTGGGGCCCTCTTCTCAGCAGAAATCCGCATCTCCCAGAAGGGTGCTGCAGATCTCTGGCTACAAGTTGCTTTAGCGGAGGATCATTCTCCCTTTCTCCTCTGCTTCTACAAAGAAGAAAAAAAAATGAAATTCCTGGGGCCAGAAGGGGGAGCAAAAAATGTATGTTTGTATGTATGTGTGTATATATATATTTCATGGCTCTGGAGCTAGTAGTTGGGACCACGTTTGGGAAAGGGAGACCTACATTTGAGTCTGTATTGCACAGACAGCTGCTGAGCATCTATACTGGAAAAGAAAAACTGTAAACAACGGAGTCTTCTGGAGAGCTCCACTGGTTAAAATGCGAGCAGCTAAAGGGTTAGGGATTTTAAGATTGCGCTTCTGGCCTGGGATGCCTAACTCGTGCGTAAGTCCCTGTTCAGGCTCGAAGCCCGCTTGCGGAGCAGGGGCCCATGGTCTCCTCCGGAGCCAGTGAAGTCATCCTGTTGCCTCCAGTGCACTTTGGATCCAGTCTGCAAGCGTGTATTGTCCTGTGGGTGTATTGTGTAAAGAAAAACATAAATAATAAAACTGAGAACGTGAAAAGACAGGTGTTACCAGAAACGATTGGCCAGATGAGGCAAATGCTGGAGCGGTTTCTCCACAGTTAGAAATAAAAGTAACTTAGACTATAAACACTGACTGCTTTTAAAAGGAAAAGATGCTTCTTATCGACAGTCATTTGGTTGTTTATTGAGGTTTCCTATAAACAAAAGCTCCTGATTTTGGATGCATGTGATGCCGTTTACGGCCATGTGCTATTTGTAATGTACATATGGAAGAAGATGTGCAAAATATTACCCCGCAGCAGCTTTTACGTGTCTGTCTGGTGAACGGGCTGTACCTTTTGAGTCATATGATTATTAAGCACACAGCAAAACCTTCTAGGCTATTACAGAAACATAAAGACTAAACTGAAGTTTCAAATGAAGCTTTGGGGATCCCCTCTTCAGGCAGAAGAGATCCAGGATGGCACAGGGTGCTGGATTTTTTTTCCTTTCCTAGCTTTCAGGATATGCTTGTGGAAAAGCCTGCTTTAATATAATTTAGTGAAGAACTCGGTCCGCAGCTCGGCACTTTTCACCATCCCTTGCATGCGAACCTTATTATAGTCTCATAGATGGCACTTCCTAAGTAGCCCATCAGCTGCCATCTATTCACCCTTCATAGGGCCTGAGCGTAACAGTGGGCAGGATCTCTGCATTGCACGGGTTCCCCGAGCAGCCAGCATCATGGGCCTGTGCAGCCTTCTCCTCCTTCGCACTATAATTCCCCTAGAATTAAAAGTTGCCAGAAGTTGTATAGTAAAAGTATAGGGTTTATGAAGGTGGCATCACGGTTAGTCCTGTAGATACATCACATAGCAAGCAAGTTAGAGAACATGCACTTTTAGACTATTGTGTGGGCCCAGGTCTTATCAGGTCTGAAATTTGGTTGACATATCTTTGTTATTTATTTGTTTTGCAAATCTCTTTGTATTCACAATGCTTTTTGAGAAATAAGTAATAAAGCATTAATTCTTCCTTTTATAAGGAAGAGGAGGAAGAAGCATAGCAAAGTGTAGGTTGGAAGGAGATGTAACTGGTAGAGTTTAAATTTGAGCCATCACTAGTCGAGTGCTGTTCACAGTGCCGGGAGATCATTAATACCCTCACAGTGCACAGCCTCATGGTTTTGTTGGTGTTCAAAACTTAGAAAAAGCAGCGGAATGAAACTGCCTATATGAAGGCTGTATTATTAGCTTGTGGTTCTGGTGGCAAATAAATGCAGCTTTCAAAGATTTTCACACAGGTCAGGATACCACAATATTGTACTTTGGCCTGATAACATCTTAATCACATTACAAAAGAAATAAGTGGAGAAGAAGCTCATCTCCGCAATTTCGTGGTACTTCAGTATAATATATGCTTTCTGATTGACAACTTAATGGCTTCATTTTGCTTTTTAGTGCCTGCTGTTTAGTTGCAGATGGCTGAGCAGTTTGGCAGAGGACTAGCATGCTCCGTGACTTTTGAATTTTGACTTGAGGAGCATTAAATGTGATGGACCTGGGGTAGAAACAATCCTGTTTGGGAACAACAGGTTCCCTCCTTGGGCATGCAACCTAAGGTGCAGGTTAGCTGGGCTAAACTTGCAGGTCTTGCAGTGGCTTCTTCCTTGAGCTTTTCAAGAAAAATTGGACACAAAGAGGGCATGAACCATCATGTACGTGTAGACAAGCATTTTTTTCTGACCATTTTGATCATTTGCTGTGGTTCTTCATTCTGCCCAACAGCTAACAGATTTCGATGCACGAGGCCATTCTCCGGTGGAATATAAGCCCTACGTCTCCTCAATGCCTGCTGCACCGCTGTGGTAGCCCAAGTGCCTGGGTTCCTGCAGCTCTTCACATAAGCAAGGTGGCAACTGCCCGGCATGGGGGCACAGGAGTGCCGTCCCCGCTGTGTCCCTCTGTGCCTCGCGGCACCCTCGGGGCTGGGCTAGCCTACGTGCTGTGCTGGTCCAGAAGCGCAGTCAGGGGAAGTGCCCTTTCTTGCTGCATGGGCCCTTGGTTAAAGCCCTCTCCCCAGGTAAGGGGAGGTTTTCCTTCTTGAGCCCGAGGGATTTTACATGCATTTTTCACTGGCGGGAGGCTGCTGGTTTTGCAGCGGTGTCCTCCTTTTTGACGCAGGGCTGAAATCTCTTCAGGGTGGAGATGTCAGCTGATGGAGGAGGAAGCGCCGAGGTTTCTGACTCCCACTGCCTGATGTGTTTTCTCGGGTGACTCTCTACGGCACAGTGCGTAAATGCTGCTCAGACCAGCAGCCAGAGCCCAGCTTTCCCATCTCCTAGGCTGACTGCCCTAATCACTGAGCTTCCTCTTTCTTTTTTTTCCTCATTTTTGCCTAGTAAATGATTAATTCTTCTTTGGAAGGTGGCATTCCTAGTCACGGGCTGTGACTGTTGGCACCCTGGGGGTATCCCTCGTGCTGAGGGTGTCCCTGCAGCTCCCCAGCGGCTGCCTTTGCAGCGCCACATTTTTCTTGCACATCCCATGCAGAAGCAGCACGCGTGAGGGTGCCTGGCTGGGCGCTGCACACAGGAGCGTTTCGAGGCAGCGCCGGCTCAATCCCCCGCGGGGCTAACCCCGAGTCGCTGTTTGACTCGTGAAAGGAAACGGTCTGAAATCCACTCAGTTGAGTAAATGAATTGGCAGTTTCAAGTGCTGCACCTTCTAGGTCCTTCACCAGTTTTTGTGGCTTTGTGGGTTTATAATCAAATTCTCAAAATATTATCAAAATATTTTTCTTTTTGCTATTACTGAAGAGAGAGAGAAATGCATTGAATGGGAAATCTGTGCACTAGCAGAGAGTAAAAGAACTGGGATAAGAAGAGAAAATGTCTGTTTTCTAGTCTCTCTATTGACTACAACTTTATGTGTAACTTGCAGTTATATTAGGTAGTGTATTTTCTCAGAAGTCTTGCCTTTTTTTTCTTTTTCTTTTTAATATAGATATTGACCGTGACCTTTAAAATTTCAGAACCACCGGTCTCGCTTATGGAGGTGATGTCATTTGCCTTGATCTTGCAAAGAACCATAAAGTTCAAACAGCAATCCTGTTAAAAACCTTACTTTCAGTATTAAGAAAGAAGCTAGGTCTGTGCCTGTGTTAACACAGGCCTCTCTTGAGCTCTACCGAAAAGTAGGTAGCCTGGTTTGTGTCGCGTGCTGCTTGAAATCAGGAGTCACACACACACACAGAATCACAGAGTGGTTGAGGTTGGAAGGGGCCTCTAGAGATTCCCTAGTCCAAC